TTTTTCTCCCTCCTCTCTTCTTCTATGCATACAGGCACGTGTGTGCGTACACGCACACGCGCGCGTGCACACACACACACACACACACACACACACACGGAACGTTTTTTATTTTTTTTAGTTTTTGTAGAGGTACTAGGGATTGAACCCAAGACCTTCACACTGAGCTACATTCCCATTTCCCACCCAGTGTTTGAGACAGGGTCTGACTAAGTCACTAAGTTGTCCAAGCTGGGATCAAACTTTCCATCCTCCAGCCTCAGCCCCCAGTTTCCTGAAATTATAATTATGTAACACTAAGACTAACTAGAACAAACAGTAACCCAAGCAATGGGGCTATAGTAAGTATTTGGTAAATAATTCTTGGAACAAAAAACCCAGAGAGATGAGATTGTCCTTTTATCATCATCATTTTCACCATAGCCATCAATGGGAGCCACACTAACCAATGGCTACTATATGACATGTAGGAGATGGATTTTTGCAAATGAAAAAATCCAGGGAAAAGCCCTTGTGAGGATGTTATAAGGGTGCTGTCTTCTCCTAGGGACATTATTTTTGGTCTTTACCCTCCATTCTATCACAGTACAAAACACTTGGGAGATACTCAATAAAGACTTCCTGGCTCGTGAAGTGCGAAAATCCATTTCGGTGTCTCATTTTCTGACTCCTTGTGGGCTGAGAAAGGAAGACTGTAGTAGATACTTATGAAGTGAATGGAAACCAGGGAAATAGAACAGACATTGTTCTCTCTTATCTTTTCCTCAATTTTTTTCTGAGAGTACATACTAATAAATATGCTAGTCAATATTTGTCTTGGATTATAATTTATCAGCTAAATGACACTATTTTTTATTTACCTCTATTTTTTGGATTTGTTTTGTATATAATTATAGGATTTGATAAAGGACACTCTGTATAGCACTTATATATACTCAATATTTAACTTAGAAATAAGAATAATATAAGAATTTTATGAAATGTAGTGTACTAATCTAGTGACAAGAGAATAAAGCATAGTACAGAGGGAATTTTCCCTCAGCATCAACTTCCTCTCTCTTTCTAGTGGAAGAGAAAACTTCGACCTAACGAAAATGTTAAAACAAACCCCTATTCACATTCAGTCAACAAGAAAGCCCACAGCCTCAACACAGGAACTGCACACAGGAAGTTCAATATTTATTTTGCATTATAAGGATATTGAAGCCATACCGATTTTTAAAATTTTTTTGATTATTAGAGATTCAAACAATGTTTACATACAAGATCCCAGTCTGTATGACACTATATCCTGGCTGAGTGCCAGTCTGTACATATACAGCCCTTATTGTGTGCAGTGGGCAGTGGCCATTGGACTTTGGCTTTTATAAATTGAATTAACAAACATTTAATGGGAACCAGCTTTAACAAATAGCTTGGCTAGATTTAAGAGTAAGATTTTTTTTTAAATTCCTTTCCACCAATAGCTGTTGATTCCACTAGACAAATACTAATCCAAATGGCTACTAATACAGATCATGACAAACATTTTACATCTATTTCATTTGTAAGTTTTTAGCTTTATTTATGAATTGGTTTTATAATTTTGTATTTTCTTGGCTAACTGTTTGCCTCTTTGCCTTCAGATGCTGAGCTCTGTGTGGGAGCCCTAGGCTTTGTGGTGGGAACAAAGAGAATGGAATTGACTGGGTGTTGTTCCCTTGCCATTGGAACTCTGAAGGAGACAGGGAAGAAATGGTTGGGGTACCTGACTCCATATCCTTTACCACATCTACTTTGTGGGACAGTGGCTTCTACATAGACTCCAGCTCTATATCTTTACTTTCTAGCCCATGAAACACACATGACAGTTGCAGAACCTTAGTAACTGCATTGATATTTGTAAGCTTTGATTTCTACTCTCTCAAACCCTATCTGAAATATAAAATCCTATTATATTTTTTATTTAGATAATTTTGTGGACAATTTTATTTTGGATGATGCCAATTAATATACAATGCACAATAATCTTCACTATGAGATTAATATCTTCATTCTGAATATTTATACTAATTCTCCAAAAATACTTTAAGATCAAAGTATTATTATTTTATATATGTCTATACAGTTTACTTGTTCTTAAGTATGGTTTAATGTATCCTAAATCTAGTAGATTCATAGAGTCTCCAGATAAAACGAAAGAAACTCAGTTAAATTCGAATTTCAGGTGAAAATGTTTTAGTATATAGGTATCTGCAGAAAGGCTAAAAAGCTACAAAATCCTAAAAATCAGTTTTTAATTATGAAATTCAGACTTAAGTGGAATACTGTAATTTTATCTGCTAAATCTGGTAGGTATAAGTAGACTATAAACTTTCCAGGACATCACAGTTTTTGCTTCTCTTTATTCAATGCTTGCCTGGCTTGAATTATGATCTATAAGAGAACAGGATCCTAGAGCCAGGGATATAGCTCAGTGGCACAAGTGCCTGCCTGGCAAGCAGAAGGTCCTGAGTTCAATTTCCGGTACCAAAAAAAAAAGAGAATAGAATCATAATTCCTAGGACTCTGAGCAGAGAATATCATTTTTTGTTTTTGATTTGAAGCTGCTCAAATATATTTTGTAGGTACAGTATGTTTAGGCACTGTTTTAGAGAGTAAGGATTATATTTGATAATACTGAAGTGTTGACTTTATGGTCCTTTGGTTGCATTTCTGTCAAATAAAAGCAATGGGTACCATTTCTTTAAGAAAGAACAAACTATAAGCCCACAGACCTGGATTTTGGTTTCATCTTGCGCATAAACTATCTCTGGGTCTCTGTAAAATCATCTATGGCTATCTGCTTCTATGACAATGGTGGAGTCAGAGCATAAAGATCTCAGGTCTTTTCCTTCCTTGTTCCCACATCTATTGGCATAGAAGGGGATGGGGTCCACTTCCCTGCCCCTTGATGCTAACTGTGGCCATATAACTAGTGTTGGGCAATAAGATGCTAGCAGAGAGGACACACAGAGGCTTGAAACCACCTGTGCTTGTGTGTTCCTCTTCCTTTGGCGCTCCTCTGCCTTGGCCCCGAGAACATGCTGTGGCTAGCCTGCTGGATGGATGGGAGTGTGAGGTGGACACAAGCATCTAGTTCTGATGCATTCCTGTCTCTCATCTAGGAGAAGAAATAATAAGAATGAAAAATTTTATTTACCTCTAAGAATCATTTATTACACGTTCATTATTCATGTTTAGATATCGGCAAGAGTTCAAGACAGCATTCTTATGCATGTATGTGGCAGTCTCAACATAAATCTGATCTGGCCCTAGAATCCTGAGCATACCAAGGACCTGAGGGTAAAATTTGTTGTTGTACACTGCGTCATTGCTTGGAAATGTGAAGTAAATAGAGACAAGTAGGAATATAGGATAAAGAGCAGGTAAACATGACGTGTACCTGCTAATGTCTGGCTGATCTGATTGGTAAGAATTTTGTGGGGAGCTTGACTTGTGCATGTGGGGTGTTTCAGTGTTCATTGGTGCAGATTCAGCCTTGGCTGCAGCTAGAATTAGATGTTGCATGGAGTCTCCTACACCCCACCACCTGTGCCAGTTCTTCAGATTGTCGGGTGTACTCTTTATGGCCATCACTGGGCAAAGCAGCAGAGTAAGTGGCCATGACTGCTTTTTTGTCTGTGCCATGCTTGGAAGAATGTGGAATCACCTCAGTTCCTATGTTAGACATTATCAACCAGAATTATTTTTTCCCGATTTACAATGAAAATGTCTGATTTGTTTGGTTTTAGCAGATTAACTAAACATTAGGACTGTCCAGACCCGATCTAGCTGGATATCTGATACTTTTGTTTCTTTGTCAGTAGATGCCTGAGTTTCTAAGTGCTGTGCGACAGAGGGGGAAGAGAATGATCAAGAGTGTTTTATATCAGGCCTAAACCTTTTATATCTTCACCTCCTTTTGCACTAACCAGTAAACTGAGCCTTTTAGGTTGCTGTGAACCAAACTTACATGCAAAATTTGATGGATCAAAATTCTCACCAGACTTCTCCACAATATATATCTACTGTTGAGATGTTGTCAAAATCTGGTGACATCATCATCATTATATTATTATCATTATCATTATCATTATTATTATTTCACATTGTTAGGCAACCCTGGCCTAAATGTCACTAAAACTCTGGATAGTGGGAGCAGATAAAAGCACTATGCATTTTCTTCCAAGTTTCTAACTTTGGAAGGAATTCCTAGATATAATAGGTATGTGGGAAAAAAATCATGTTGACAGCACAACAATTCATTCACTTCCTAACATGACTAGTCATGTACTGTGCTTTAGTGCAAACAATAAGGTTATTGTTCACATGGGAAAATAAGCAATTTGTTGGAAGGCGAAAAGGTGAAAATGTTCTATAACCTGATTTTGTTTTGTCAGGAGGCACGTCGTCTTGTAGGTCGTCTGAGAAGATGCAGCTAATAGACACAGATTTGGTGATTTGTGAGAGCAAGGGTTTCTTCTAGTTTTCTTACTGCTACTGCATGGGATTTTGAAGTTTGTTTGTATTTGTTTAGATTCAGTGGCTCAACTTTTTCCTTCAGTGGGGACAGAAGAGCTCCATGTCGCACTGTGTGTGTCTGTCTAGATGCAAAAGTTGGAGGGCTTCTGATTGGAAACCTTCCAAGGTGACCACAAGCGGATGAGTTCAAATGACCCAGCACTGTGCAGAAGGAAGCAACTGGTAAGTTCAGCCCATGTTCTGCTTAGAGGACTCCACCAGCTCACCCTTCTGTTTTGGGTTCTCTCCTTTCCTTATCTTGTATTATTTTTTTTATTTTTCTGATCTTGGACCAATGCAGAATGGAGTGGGAAGGAGAGAAGAAAAATCCAACACCCTGGGAGAAATAATAGTTTAAATTGCCCTGTACCATGTCTACTTTCATGTTTCTGAGATCTACAAAATTGCTAAGAGTTCTGTTTCTGTTAATGGTGTTTGGATATTTACAAGCTGAGGTTGTGGGTACTAACTGATCCTCAAACATATATCATTCAGACAGTGTTTAGAGTCTTTATACAACCACTTTCTTTTCTTAATTAAAAAAGTCTTACTTTACGCTGTTGTTTTTCTGTAAATTTGTTAACCTAAGGACTTTTTTTTTTTGCTTAACCTTTAATTTAAAACAATGAAATAAGGCCCAATTTGTAAACACAAAATGGCAGGCACCTAGCTTTTATAGGCCTCTAAAAGGAAAATTTTTGAATACACACACACACACACACATACACACACACACACACACACACAAATTAATAAATTCTTTCCAATCGACTGCTTTGAATGTCCATCCTTCCAAACCAGTAGAATATAATGAAATATCTAAAATATCTAAGAAACACTTAGGCAAATTCTCAAGTAGTAGTGTCTGGCTTCCCAGCCCTTTATACTCTGTCTACAGAAACTTTTGTGGGCGCCATGGTCAGACTGGATGCTTCTTCCTACATTTGTTTATAGGTTCCTCCAGAGTATTTGGATCTCTCTGGTTTCCATCTGAATGTCTGCGGCTGAGAACAACCATGTGAACAAAAATAGTCTAGGGCAAAACAAACTCAGACAGGCTGTAGTGAGCAAAGAGCTGTAGGCTGAAATATCTGCACGGTCATCAGTCAGTGCTAAAAGGAGGTCAGGGGATGCTTCTGGATTTAAGGCCTAAGCAGGCTATGGAATCTTGGAAGGTTTTTATTCTATTGCTATCCATGTGATTTGGGGGATTTGCTAATAGTTCTTGCTGCTAATTTTGAACGCCAGAGTAAATAGTAGTGGCCAGGGAAAAAAGCCCTTTGGAGCTCATTTAAAGAAAACTGAACAGTGATTTTTTTTTTCCCCTGCCAACCTGGGCTTCATCTTTCAACCCACAATTGAGAGAGATGGAGACAGAGACAGATATGCTGCAGTCTGGCAGACAATTTGTAAAAGGACTTACCATTTTCAATTTTATTTTTATACATTGGTCTTGATTACTGTTCCGATGATTATGGTATTCTTTAGTGTTTACTATGTGCCCCTCGTGAGTTATGTCACTATGTTTTCTCCAAAAATACTTATAAGCAAGGACAATCACTAACACCAAGGTACAGATGACAGAGCTGATGCAAAGAAGGTGAGTGGTTTGCAAAGGATATAGAGCCAGGAAGTGGGGAGAATGAATGGATCTGAGTTTAGAAAGGTTGGATCCAAACACCACACCTAGTAGTCACACAGTGTTTTCATTATCCTAGACTTTGTTTCTTTATATCCTTTACTTTCTCCTTTTCCATACAGACTGTCCTTTGAAAACAAATGCCTGGGATCTAGATTAGATTGATCACTCACTGACATGGCTGTTCAGAATGAAGTTTGCGAGATGTTAGAAAATGCAAATGGCTTCTGTGAGCACTATCACCAATTAAGACAGGATCTGATTCTATCCTGGTATAGGTAGCCATCTTGCTATTTTCAAGAAATATTTCCCTTTGGTAATTTTTCACTCATAAAAGCAGTTTGTAAAATTAGCAACACACTGTTTCAAGGAACTGTACAATCTTGTACATTTCTTTAAAAACAAAAACCAAGTATCTATTTGAACTTAGAAATGTCCTATTGGTTTGATCACAGAATCAAGGTGTGAGGGTGTAAGGGTGCATTCTAGCAGGGATGTGGATTGTGTGCTGTGACTTCACCAAGTCCTCATTATGGTGTTGGCATTGATTATTTTTCCTTCTGCAAGTTAAATAGCTTTTATATGCCTCAGCTTGTTCATCTGTACAAGGGAATAATAGCATATCCTACTCCACAGGGTATTATGAGGTTCATCACGGGGCTCATAAACATTTAAAATCATGTGTTCTATCAGAAATTGCTTCAAAATCACTTTTTAAGTATATCTAAAGGCAATAGCACTAAGTACACACCGAATTCACCAAGTATCAGCTATGTACATTTTCTTGAGTAAAATAGCCTAGACTTTTACTTACTGTGATGCAAGATTTATTATGCTCCATGCATTTATCTTGATATAAGTTGGTACTACCCTCAGTGGATCGGAAATATGGATTTCGTTTCTGGTATTGCCTCACACTCTATTCATAAAATTTGTCCTTTGGACTTATACATCATCCTCCCACTATGAAAATGAAATTGCTACCTTTCTATTCCTCATATTGGAGCTACTTGACAGTCAGTGCAAAAAGTTGCTCTCGAGCCCTTATCTCCTGTCCCCGTAAGGAGTCAAGCTTTATTCACAGCCCCTCTGGCAGCTGCTCCATGGAAATTTCCCTTCCTCATCAGTTGTCTTCTGGAGTTTCTACTGATACATCAGCTCTAGCCATAACCTGATTTCACCTGCTCATTTTGTGACCCTTTCATTGCTAAACAAGTTCTTATTTTCCATCTGTTCTTGGAAACAAAAGTGGTTGAGTTGTCCTCTACTTCCAGAGTTTATCCCTGCCTAGTGTTTAAATTCCACCTTCCCTTTGCTTCTGCTGCAGGGCTCTGGGCCCCCATCCCAGCTCACTGAGACACAGTTTCCTTCTGGGGTGTTCCTAACATTGCCATCATGAGGACAGGCAACACTTTCATATACCTGGCTGTGTTTCACCCTCTAAGCTTTTGAAACTCTTACTAAAACAAGAGTTTCTACTTTAACAGGCCTAGAAGAGGACCTAAAATGCTGTATTTCTGACAAACTCCTGGGTGATGCCCATGCTGCCATGAATAGCAAAGCTACAGATCTCTTAAAGGGCCTCTTCACTGTTCTCTGCCTTTTATCCTTACTTCTTCAGTCATCCCTACTGCCAGAGCTGTTTCAAGAAACAATCATGATTATTTAGCATTAGTGACTCCCATAGTTTATAAAAAACATTCAAACATAGGGTCCGTGTCAAGCATTTAGGGCACTCAAAACCTTACTGAATGTTCAAGCATAAACTAGATAAACACTCTTTGTCTAAAATTCTCCTCCACTTTTTGTCATTCTTAATAACCCCTATGTAGGCAGAGTCTTAGATTGTCCCTCCGATTGGCCCTTTCATCTCCTTCTATTCATGGATGATCTGAATTTGATAATCCCTTAATGCTGATGAGCTCCTGGAGTATCAACCTTTTCCATCCCAGCCTGAGCAAAGAATGGGGGCCATTTACAGCACCCACCAAATATCTATCTGTTCATGGGAATTATTCAGACTCAGGCTAATTGGGGGCATGGCCATGCTGGTTGATATACTGGTAGAGCCCAGGCAAGTCAATGAGAGGTGGTTTTATAATAAACCACTTAAAATTTTTTAGGGGATAGTTGGTTTTAAAGGGCTATATACACCAGACTCAAAACTTAGAGGAAAAGAAACTAATCCTCAGCATTCAGAATTCAAAGCAACAGTTGAAGACTACTATCAGCTCTCTCCTTTTGCAGACAAAATTGCTGGAAAAGCATTACCTTGATCCTGTGGGTCTGAGAGAAACGCATTTAATATCTTAAGGGTTTGTGTTTGAGAGTGATTTGACATTGTTGATTCTACATTTTATAGCTCTATGATGAAGGTGTTCATGCCAGTATTTTAATTTCTTCTTTTTCTGTTTTCCATAAATCCTTAGAGCCCAGTATTCATTTAAATACCTTAAGGGTATGTCAAGGTTTGTTCCATTACAATCTGGGCAAATTTCTTATTTAATTTAGTTCACAAAACTTAAACATAATTTTATGAGAGCATATTTATTTGCATACTAATGTAAATGTTCAACTTTTAAAGATGAATTTAGCTATTATTAAATGTAATTCCAAATCACTGAGTCATTGGTTCTGAATCATTCTCTATGGAGTATTCATAATGCCAGCAGCCACTACCTACTTTAGGAAATTAGGATTAAAATAAGTCTTCTATTCTCAACATTCTTTAGATATTTGCACAGGAAACTGGAAAGATTCCTACAATTTGGGACTTCACACGAGGGCTGTTGTAACAAAACAGATATACAGTAGTTTCCAAGATCTCATTTTAACATTTGTCTCAGCCACTGAATAGTGTGTGGTCCTAGACTTTACCTTTTTTTATTTAACTTTATGGACTTGAGTTTCCTCAAGTACAATATGATACAAATGGAAGAAACTTATTCAATCAGAAATATATATTAGCCATGGAGTAGAACATGGGATGTACAGACACTCCTCGGCTTTGACAGCATGCCCATGTAAACCCATTGTAAGTTAAAGAGACATTAAAAATGCCTTACATATACCCAACCTTTGCACATCATAGCCTGGCCACACAGCATTCTAGACGGCATCAGCTCTTTAGTCCTGTGACCTTGTTGTTAAGAGCTGTGGCTGCCTCATCTCTTGAGAGAGTAGCATATAGTCAGCCTGGGCAAAAGTCAAAATTCAAATTTCAGGCATGGTTCCTACCTAATGCATATAGTTTTTGCACCAAGAAAAATTACTCTAAGGTAAACTACCCTAAGTTGGGGACTGTCTTCTGTATATATATTTGTATAAATGTATAGGACTTGTGATATATTAGTGTATCTAAGGTAGAGGACAGAGAGCATGAAAGGATAGCTTTTAAGCTAAAGAAACAGGATTTTCTAGATTTATGTGCTGTGTTCATATCACTTTAAACTTTTGAGGTTCCACAAACTCTTCAGCACTTTTTCCATTGTATGCTCTGGGGCCTTGGCCTATGCATAAAGGTGATAAATATGATCTCCCTCCC